TAAATAAGTAAATAAATAAATAAATAAAAACTTGCCTAATATGTTCTTTTAGCTTTAGTTGCTAGGGAGTATAAAGCCAGATATATTGCCTAATTTTTGTAATTTGCTCATCCAAATTACCCATGAGTAGCTTTCCTTCTCATTTCCTTTAGGCAACCTCTCCCTATGCTGTTCTCTCTGAATCTTAATGCCCTGAACTAGTCTACACAGCATTTAAGAAACCAGCTCCACTTCTCTGAAGGCTTTGCCCCAGAGGAAACAGCTCATGGGACTGAGCCCTCACCAGCCAGACCATTGGTCTCTGTCCACTGCACTGTTTGCTTCAGGTGCCACAGAAAGTGGACACACCCAATGCGTGTTGATCATGTAAATCACTGGGTTGTTTTTTCCAATACCTAGGTGATTTTGCTTTTATGATTATTTCCTAATTCCTGGTGTTTGCACTTAATCAATTGTGTTAAGGGTAGCATCTGCCTCTCATATACAAACTGGGAATTATGTAGATGGACATTGGTTGTCTTATTTCATAAACAGTGTCCCCAGATCTGGTTTGACAGGACTGATCTCCAGTATTAGAACACCTACTTTTTAATTTTTATTATTTAAACATTTTTATTTTTTAAAGAGACAGAGTGTTGCCATGTTGCCCAGGCTGGTTTCAAACTCCTAGGCTCAAGTGATCCTCCTGCCTTGGCCTCCTCCCAAAGTGCTGGGATTATAGGGATGAGCCACCATACCCAGCCTGAACATCTACTTTTTATTTATGAAGAAATAATTATTCTTAGGTAGTCAGCAATACTGTTTATGATGTACTTAGCAAGAGATTTTAAATATGTACTTACATAAAACCTTAATATATATTAATGCATGTGTGTATCTATATCTATATATATAATACATGTATGTGTATATATATGTATGCATATATAGATATAAAAACTTTACCTCTGTGGGACATTTTCACTTATAAAATCTGAGGCTTGATATTAAAAGAAAGTGTTCCTGGCCGGGCGAGGTGGCTCACACCTATAATCCCAGCACTTTGAGACGCCAAGGCGGGCAGATCACCTGAGGTTGGGAGTTCGAGACCAGCCTGACCAACATGGAGAAACTCTGTCTCTACTAAAAATACAAAATTAGCTGGGCTTGGTGGTGCATGCCAGTAATACCAGCTACTCGGGAGGCTGAGGCAGGCGAATCGCTTGAACCCGGGAGGCAGAGGTTGCAGTGAACTGAGATCACGCCATTGCACTCCAGCCTGGCTGGAATTGCATCTCAAAAAAAAAAAAAAAGGAAAGAGAAAGTGTTCTTAACCCAATCAACCTCAAACTATTTGCATATATATATATTTATATAAAAACCATCTTCTGCCCCTTTTAGGGACTCTGACCTAGAATGTGGCTATGTCCTGGTTAAATGTCCTCACATGTGTCCAGTCATGGTGTCACCATCTCTTTCTTGTGCTTTAGCTCCCAGTCGAGGATAAAATCAGGATCATTGCACAGAAGATCTATGGAGCAGATGACATTGAATTACTCCCCGAAGCTCAACACAAAGCTGAAGTCTACACAAAGCAGGTAGATTTTTGGTTAGTTTGTCCTTTCAACTCTTTGCAAAGCAGGCCTGGAGTCACAATCTCTGGGTCCTCCCAACCCTGGCAAGTACCCATTGCTTCACTTCTGTGGGTGGCAGCCTTCTCTCCTCTGAAATTCTGGGTTTGGATTAGGCGGCACAGTCCCTGGTTCTTTATTTACCCATAGGCGGTATATGAATGTGTAGAAATCCATGAGGAAATACAGAATGTCTTACCAAAATATTGAGAATGTCTCCAGTTTTTGTTTTTTTGTTTGAGACAAGGTCTGGCTCCATTGCCCAGGCTAGAGTGCAGTGGTACAATTTCAGCTCACTGCAGCCTCTGACTCCTAGGCTCAAGCAATCCTCCCACCTCAGCCTCCTGAGTAGCTGGGCCTACAGGCACGCACCACCACACCTGGCTAATTTTTGTGTTTTTTGTAGGGATGGAGTTTCGCCATGTTGCCCAGGCTGGTCTCGAACTCCTAGGCTCAAGCAGTCCACCCGTCTCAGTCTCCCAAAGTGCTGGAATTTACAGTCATGAGCCACTGCACCTGACCCTCTCCAATTTTATTCTCATATCTACTCCAAACTGTTATTTTAAATTGGTTTTATGTTATTTCCATAGATGGAAATAAAATATTCACTTGTGGACTACAGTTGTGAGTACATAACTCCCTCACTCAACAGAGTTCTTTTTTTTTGTTTTTTGGCATAATAAATAAGCTGGAGAACAGCAAGGTAGAGATGTATATAAAGGGAGTTGGATGTTTCAAATAAATGGAAGGAAGAATCCATGTAATCACAAGGCCCAGATGGTCACTGCTGTGTTGTCATCTTTTCATTTGTCTTCCCTTCTTTCCCCAGGGCTTTGGGAATCTCCCCATCTGCATGGCTAAAACACACTTGTCTTTGTCTCACAACCCAGAGCAAAAAGGTGTCCCTACAGGCTTCGTTCTGCCCATTCGCGACATCCGCGCCAGCGTCGGGGCTGGTTTTCTGTACCCCTTAGTAGGAACAGTAAGTGTGTGCTGCAAGGGAGGAGCGGGCGCATCTGCACTTCTTGTCTGAAGTGTGTTGCTGAAACCATCAAGCAAATGCCAAGTGAGCAGAGTTCGCTGCCCAGAAGAAAGTTGGAATCACGCCTATTATGATTGCTGTGGATCATAAGCTATAAAGCAGGACCTATATAGCTCTTGCTGTGGACCATCTTGGTGTCAATTCAAGAATGATGCCATGACTACTCATACTGAATAAAAAATTCTGTTTCCCAGGGGCAGTATGCCCTTCACTGAATCTAGGATGATCCCAGTTGATAGGCTGGGGTAGTGCTAACATAATCACAGTTAATGTTTATTGGGAGCCTTACATAGATTAACTCAGTCCCCCAACAGCCCTAGGAGGTAGGGACAGAGGTTTTATGCCCCCAGGGTCTTGCTGACAGGCCTAGAACTTATGCCTGAAATTCAGCGGGTTTATTATTTTTGAGTAAGGAATTTCCCCATTAAAAAATGCAAATGGGACCCTTGAGATATGAAAGGTGAGGTTGCTTATTTACACTTCAAGGTGAACGAGGTATCCAGTGCTTTCTTATCTTACAGATTTTATGCATATTCAAGGAAGAATATTGCCACTTGGGAAGCAGAGGGGAGGGATGCTTAAGGACAAAATCATAGTTTGGGCTGACATTGTTCCAAGGTTAGCATGGATCCTGAATCTAGGTTATCCCCTAAATCTGCCCCATATCCTATATCTACAGATTATACTGCCATGCAATATAGGATTGAAATATTAAACTAAACCAACACACATGGAAAAGAAACCAACATATCTCCTTTTAGATTTATGTCATTCTTTCGGTATGGTAAGAAAGTGGTAGGAGGTGGCATTATAGAGTTGAAAACATAGGACATTAGAGCTGAATCCATTTTCACCTCCAGATCTTGGCCTTGGGCAAATTATGAAAGGTGAGAGCCCTGCTGCCCTCAGTTCACACTGTAGGGCAACATCATCACATCACAGTGGTGCTTAGCACAAATGCCTGCATCTCACTGCCTCCTTAGCCCTCTAGAGAGCAGGAGGCTTAGCTTTGCTATGATGTACATCAGTCTCCAGGATTTGTAGAAATCCCCTTTGGTAGGAATGTTCCACCATTTTTTCCCAGCACCTTGAATACTGCAGAAATATGTGGTGTTCTTTTTGGAGAAGTTGTCAGCAACTACCAGCTGAAAGAGGGGTAGCTGTACTCTTTCTTGTCACTTTTGATCTTCACATGAAGAGAAGGATAACAGTAGAGGTGAAAGCAAATCTGGAAGCAGTCAGGCCAGTAAGAGTCAGGCTGTAAGGTGGAGAGAGACACAGCCTGCCCAACTCAAGACTTTCTCATTTAGAACAAAGTATGCGTCAGAGGCCTTCAACTTTAAGTTGGACCAAGATGTTTCCACACATGATCAAATGGTTTAATCACTATTCTAACACCTTCCAGTTGCCGTTGGGGCCTTAACAGGACTCAGATTATTTGAATATTTTCTATATGAATTCAAAGTGTGATGGCTTCTTTTCAGAACTTTATATCTAAGTTCATACATGTGTGTACACATAATATTTTCTTTTTTTGTGTATTTTCTGATTATCAGTGACCAGTGTTTAGGAGGGAAAATCCTCTTGAGGAACAAGTGAAAATATCAAAAATCCTACTCATCGCTGTTTGTGGAACCATCTTTAGGGTTTTCTGCTGACATGTACATGTATGTCTACAACAATGGGCATGTGTCTTTTATCTTTATAATGTCATCTTCTGGTTTTTCTGCTGGGTCTAAGGACCCATCCTTTCCTTTCTCCTACTTGTCTCACACCTAGCACCTCCTTACCTCTTACACGATATGAGAATATAAACCAGTTGTCAGATCCCTATAATGTTTTGGGGAATATTGACTGGTACTCAGAAGTCAGTCAGAATGAGGTTTTCTAAAGTATTGATGATGTTTTGTGTTACAGAAGATGACTCATTCTTTTTTAATAACCTTTTTATAGTTAAGTTTTAGAAGTAACCTAAGCTGTTTTCCTGTCTAGATTTAATTTGGAACTTGTGTGTATTCATTATATAGGACATTGTTACAGATAAAAATATACTGAGTTTTCACTTGCAAGCCATACATATTTGCATCTAAGTAGAAATTTGTCAAAGCTGAGTCTTTAGAAAAGCAGTGAGTACAAATATAATTTGTAAGCATTACAAGTTTAGTTTTAGAAGGCCATTTTGGGCCAGTAAGAATAGTGATTATAAAACCGTCTAGATTATGTACAAAAGTGTCTTGGCCCAAGTTAAAGGATACTAACTCCTACCGTCGTGTTGCTGAAGCAAAAATCACATGGGCAGCTCAGCTAGCAAGACTGAATAAAACAAAATTTAAAAGCAGACAAGCGGCCGGGCGCGGTGGCTCAAGCCTGTAATCCCAGCACTTTGGGAGGCCGAGACGGGCGGATCACGAGGTCAGGAGATCGAGACCATCCTGGCTAACACGGTGAAACCCCGTCTCTATTAAGAAATACAAAAAACTAGCTGGGCGAGGTGGCGGGCGCCTGTAGTCCCAGCTACTCGGGAGGCTGAGGCCGGAGAATGGTGTGAACCCGGGAGGCGGAGCTTGCAGTGAGCTGAGATCCGGCCACTGCACTCCAGCCTGGGTGACAGAGTGAGACTCCGTCTCAAAAAAAAAAAAAAAAAAAAAAAAAAGCAGACAAGCCCCGCACCTCCTTTTGGTCTTGCAAAGTGTGAGCTGAGGAGGTGAGTGAGCAACTCCTGCACTCCCCAGCACTCATGCGTGTAAGGTGAAGGTGAAAACACCTCCTGCTACTGCTTGTGACCACATGGAAGATGACCACGAAGGCTGGCATTTGGTTTGCAGAAGGACATAAGGAATCAGTTTCTTTTTTTTTTTGAGATGGAGTCTCGCTCTGTCACCCGGGCTGGAGTGCATGGAGTGCAGTGGCGCAATCTCAGCTCACGGCAACCTCTGCCTCCCAGGTTCAAACAACTCTCCTGCCTCAGCCTCCCGAGTAGCTGGGATTACAGGCACACGCCACCATGCCCAGCTAATTTTTGTATTTTTAGTAGAGACCGGATTTCACCATGTTGGTCAGGCTGGTTTTGAATTCCTGAACTTGGGTGATCCACCTGCCTCGGCCTCCCAAAGTGCTGGGATTATAGGCATGAGCCACCACGCCTGCCTGGGATCAGTTTCTAAGTCTGAGTTTTTTAACAGGATTAGTGACTTGATTTTTAATATGTAACAAGAAGAGTACCCACTTTATTGACAACCATAAAATGATGTTCTATCTTTGTGCCTTGGGCTTTCTTTCTGAAGGAAAAGTGAAAGTAAAGATGACTTTACGTTTATTTTAGACATGGCCTCGCTCTGTCGCCCAGGCAGTGGGATGATCATGGCTTACTGTGGCCTCAAACTCCTAGCCTCAAGCAGTCCTTTTGCCTTAGCATCCCAAGTAGCTGGAACTACAGGCACATGCCATCATACCCAGCTAATTTTTTATTTTCTGTAGAGGTGGGGGTCTCACTATGTTGCCCAGGGTGGTTTAGAACTCCTGGCCTCAAGTGATCCTCACCTCAACCTGGTATTACAGGCGTGAGCCACTGTGCCCAGCTTTAGTTTATTTGTAATGCTTTTTTACATCCTAGATGAGCACAATGCCTGGACTCCCCACCCGGCCCTGTTTTTATGATATTGATTTGGACCCTGAAACAGAACAGGTGAATGGATTATTCTAAACAGGTAAGTTGTTACTGGGTAAGAATTTTGCTTTTTTCCTTATGTAGCTTATTTATGAATTATAGAGCTCAAACTGACGCTGCAAAAAATCACATTCTAATGCTTTCAAAACATTTCTTTTCAGACTTCCCTGAGGGGAGAGGGGATAGGAATGAGAGTTGGCAATAACCAATGAGTTGAAATATTTATATTTCCACACATTTTTGGAAGAAGTGCAGCATGGCTTGTCACAGGTTGACAGTGTAGGGGAGAAAACTGCTGTCCAATAAACTACAGAGGAAACTACAGGAGGCATTAGACTCCCTCTGCTGAAGCCCCAGGAGGCTTGGGGTTCAGAGTTGATGACACATTGCAGGTCAGGAACAGCTGATGGTCTATATACTCTGAATAGGGAGTTAGAAGGCAAGAGTTAGTAAATGTCTTAGGAAGTATAATAGAAAAGAGAAGGAAACAGGACCATTCTGGAAGTTCTTAGGGCCTTAGGTGAAAGGGCCCTGAGTACCGACTACAGTGAGTGACGTTGCATTGTTTGATATTTTTGAAATTTCAACAGGACGTGTCTCTCCTTAGGCAGGTCCTTGGGGCTGAAGAAGCAAGCTGCAGTGTGCACTTATATTCCTAGACACGTCCTGTTGAAATTTCAAAAATGTCGAACATGAAAATCCCAACATCTTTCTCCAGAGAATAAAAAAGTGGCTTGCCTATGAAAAAAATGAGAACTAGACTTAACACCCGTCTTATTGGCAATAAGAAGCTTTTAGACAATGGAGGAGTGTCCTGTAAGGTCACAGGGAAGATTACTTTCAACATGTGCTCACACCTAACCGAATCTATCTGGATGTTTTCAGACATGCGAGGGTTTGCCGCCCCACATCTCTTCCTAAGAAGTTATTTAGCAATGTACTTAGCAAAATGAGGAATTAACCAAGAAAAAAGGAAGACATGAGTTTTGGGAAACTGAAGCCTCATTTGCACATTAGTGAAGGGGCATTCTGATAAGCATGCAAATGACCTAGAGTTACAAATCCAGTGTGGAACAGGATGGGGAAGCACCTGAGAAAAACTAGAAAAAGCTGGAAAAGACAAGGATATCAAATGGTCATAGTACAAAACAAAAGCTCTTGCATTATTTGAGAAATTTAAGGTCCAAGTAGAAGCAAACTGTAGTTTGATGCTAGAACACTATTCAAGTCCATTTATGGACATGTCCTAGAAGAGCTGGTGGTGGGAAAGGATGTAAATGTTAACAACTTTGGCAATGTGAGTGGGTAATGGTGCAGTATGGAAGGAACAGGAAACATTTCAGTGCTTAGAGAAAACATTATTTCTTGTTTGTTTTTCCTTCCAGATCCTCATCCATCTTCAAGAAGCTACTTTGAAAGTCTGGCCAGTGTCTATTCAGGCCCACTGGGAGTTAGGAAGCATAAGGAAGCCAAGAGAAGTCAGCCCCTGCCCAGAAACTAATAGTAGGAGTTTCCCCGGAAGTCATTTTCAGCCTTAATTCTCATCATGTATAAATTAACTTAAATCATGCTCATGTCTATTTACTTTAGTGACGTTCCACAGAATAAAAGGAAATAAGTTTGCCATCTTGGTGTTGCAATATGAATTACAGCCTTAACAGACTGTGCCACAGGTCTCTGCCATCCTTTGTGAGCTCATTTGTCAGGTAGACCCTTGGGCTGAAGATGCAAGTTGCAGTGTGCCCTTTATGATACTGTTGTGTTTAGAGGGAAATGTATGCATGCTTGTGTATTTCTGAGAGGACACACAATTCAGGGGACCTCCTGAGAGGGTCGGGTTGGAAGCTAATGACTTACCTTTTTATCTTATACCTTTCTATGTTGTTGAATTTTGTTTTTCTACCCTGAGGAAGTATTGCTTATACAAGTTTTTGCCTGAACTTCCTTGGAATTCCCATTTCTGTCACAGCTTTAGCACTCTATGTTTAGAGTTCTCAAGAAGGATGGTCATACAGCACCAGCCTTAGGTGAGCCTCTATTCTGTTGGTGCAGCAAGTATTCATTGAGTTTCTTCTAAATGCCTGGGCTCTACCCTTCCCTACAGACTTTCTTTTTTTTTCTTTTTTTCTTTTCTTTTTTTTTTTTGAGACGGTGTCTCTGTCACCCAGGCTGGAGTACAGTGGCGCAATCTCGGCTCACTGCAATCTCCATCTCCTGCGTTCAAGCGATTCTCCTGCCTCAGCCTCCCAAGTAGCTGGGATTATAGGCATGAGCCGCCATGTCTGACCTAGACTTTCTTTTTCCTAAAACATTAGGTTGGTAAAAACCACAATTACTTTTGCACCAACCTAATGTTTTTTTTCCTCCTCTTCTGGCTGGGCGTGGTGGTGGCTCATGCCCATAATCCCAGCACTTTGGGAGGCCTACGTGGGCGGATCACTTGAGGTCCGGAGTTCAAGACCAGCTTGACCAACATGGTAAAATCCTGTCTCTACCAAAAATACAAAAATTAGCTGGGTGTGGTGGCAGGCACCTATAATCCCAGCTGCTTGGGAGGCTGAGGCACGAGAATTGCTTGAACCCAAGAGTCAGAGGCTGTAGTAAGCTAGGATCATGCTGCTACACTCCAACCTGGGAGACAGAGCTAGACTCTGTCTAAAAAAATAAAAGAAAATATTTTTCCTTCTCTTCTTGTTCTTTATCTTCTATCTCTGTTCTTCCTCTCCCATTTGTTTCCTTCCCTTTTCCCCTCTGTCTTCCTCCACTGGATCCTTCTAGAGTATGCTGCATGTCACTGGTGCCAGTGCTAAACCCTGCTGATGTTGGCAGAGCAGTATTTTTCCCAGTGACCTTGGTTTTATTATTTTTAATTCCCTAGGTCCACATCAGTGTTGTAATACAGTCAATTTTACAGTCCACAGAAATGATAGCAGTGCCTTGAGAGGCATATGGCAAAGGGGTCACAATGCAGAGCCCCAGCTCTGTGGCGCAGAGCCTCACCCACCTCCCTGCCTCCACATCCTCACCATGGAAATAGGAGCACTGTTGGTACCTACCTCGTGAGGGCGGTTCTGGAATTACTCAAACACATCATCTAAGATGCTTTGTACAGGGCCTGGCACATTGTAAGCACTTGTCAGTTCCTGTTGCAAAGCATCATCCGGGCCCTGTTTGCACAGTTAATTGCTTCTGGTACTTTTTTTTTTTCTGGTGGGAGTGACAAGAGTCGTGCTTTGTTGCCCAGGCTGGAGTGTAGTGGCGTGGTCTCGGCTCACTGCAACCTCTGCCTCCCAGGTTCAAGTGATTCTCCCGCCTTAGCCTCCCAAGTATCTGGGATTACAGGTTCGCACCACCATGCCTGGCTAACTTTTTGTATTTTCGGTAGAGATGGGGTTTTGCCATGTTGGCCAGGCTGGTCTCAAACTCCTGGCCTCAAGTGATCCTCCCACCTTGATCTCCCAAAGTGCTGGGATTACAGGCGTGAGCCACTGTGCCCGACTGCTTTCTAGTACATTTCTTAAATGTCCTATGAAACTTCACCTGGAATGGGATTTGCTGGGAATTAATTTTATAGACAAGGGAAGGATGCAGTCTTGTTAGATATGGTGACTTAAAGGTCATCTTAAAGGATTTAGGTTTTCTTATATTGCCAAAAACCACGTGGGTTTAAATCCTCAATACTGGTAGGGGCTGGGCATGGTGGCTCACACCTGTAATCCCACCACACTCAGCTGAGTTTTGGAGTTTTGTTTTTTGTAGAGATGGGGTCTCACTGTCTTGTCCAGGCTGCTGAGGCAAGAGGATCACTTGAGCCCAGGAGTTCAAGACTAACCTGGACAAGTCAGACCCCATCTCTACAAAAAACAAAACCCCAAAATTCAGCTGAGTGTGTGGTGCACGCTTGTAGTCCTAGCTGCTTGGGGGACTGATGTGAGAAGTTTGCTTGAGCCCAGGAGTTGGAGGCCACAGTGAGCTATGACTGAGCCATTGCACTCCAGCCTGCACAACAAAGCAAGACCCTCTGTCAAAATAAAAAAGAACTATAGAAGCACTCGTGCTTGGGGTAACTATTAGCATGTGCTGGCAGAGAAGGTCTAGTGCCTTTACCTTGGTGCTAAGAGTCCCTCCAGAGAGTGGCTTCCCCGTGCCCTTTCTCTTCTCTGGGCTGCTAATGCCTTCCTTCCCCATATTAGTAATATTACTGATAAACAAATTGTGCATTCTGTGATCTCACTTCAGAGACTGTTTCTGTGCATTGAAGATGTACATACAGTCTTAATTCAGAAGAGATAACATTCATGTGCTGCCACATTAAACAGATTGCAACAGTATTACTACTGAGTTTGTGTTGACTCTGTGCAACCCTCATGGTGCCCAGGAACATATGAAACCACCAGAGACTTGGAGCCTCAGGTTCATTCAATGGCGTCCCAGGGAACGGGGTTGAAGGGCTTCCTCCCAGAAGGCCTCTGAAATGTAATAGCTATTAACAAGGAGTTGTAAGTCATTTTTGGTAGCTATAGGCCCAGGCAGTGGGTAGGTAGAGATCAAGATGGGAGAAATGGTAAGATCAGTAGAGTATTGTTCAGATAAATATGTAAGCTGTTTTATTGGCACACTGTATCTGGTGATATTAACATGATAAGCTATAGTCTGGATACCAATTTCTCATCAGATTGGAGAAATATATTTATAGCCTATTTCCTGTTATATAATGAAAAGCTACTAATGGGGTAGTAGACAATGATATGGGTAATAGCTTAAACAGCCTTCGTTGTCACTTACCTGAATTCAGGAATGACAGGTTTCTTTCATGCATGAGGTACTGGATACATTAAACACACACACACAGATATAGCATTGAGTTCTAGTCATATCCTAAAGAAAAACCATGGTGCGCTATGTTATAGTACTATACTATGTGTGAGTGACTCTGTGTGTTGGTGGAGGTCAGGGATGACTTGTTTGTAATATACCTTAAGGAAGTCTGTCTAAATTTGCCCTTTAAATACTAAATAAATTTACCTCTTACCTCAAACTGCCTTTCAGTTCCCTTTTACTAATTTTGTTTAAAAGAAAGGCAAGTGAAGGCTAGGCGTGGTGGCTCACACTTGTAATCTTAGCACTTCAGGAGATCAAGGCAGGAGAATTGCTTGAGCTCAGGAGTTCAAGACCAGCCTGAGCAACATAGGGAGAGACCCCCATCTCTACAAAGAAAAAAAAGAAGAACCTGGGCATGTGGTCGCATACCTGTGGTCCCAGCTGCATGGGAGGCTGAGGTGGGAGGATTGCTCGAGCCAGGGATTGTACCACTGCACTCCAGCCTGGGCAACAGAGCAAGACCCTGTCTCAAATAAAAATAAAAATAAGACAGCTATTCTACCCTGTCTTCACTTAAATAAGCTCATCTTATTTTTTGCCTGAAACTCTTGCAAACTCCCAGGACTGCTAGTTTTGAGATACCTTGGATCTCAATAAAGAATAGTTCTCAATTGCTTATGAGTATAATGTATTTCTTTTGGCTTAAAGTTCAACACTGGCAACAAGTAGGGCTAGCAACCCATAGAGAGATACGAAGACCATTTCCATAGGCGTGTTTGCTGAGTGAAGAAGGCTGACTGAATTTTTTTTTTTTTTCTTTTGAGACAGGGTCTCACTTTGTTGCCCAGGCTGGCGTGCAGTGGTACAATAGTGGCTTACAGCAGCCTTGACCTTCTGGGCCCAAGTGATCCTCCCATCTCAGCCTCCTGAGCTCCTGAGTAACTGGGACCATAGGTGCACCACCATGCTCAGCTAATTTTTAAAATTTTTTTGTCTCCCTATGTTGCCAAGGCTGGTCTCAAACTCTTGGACTCAAGCCATCCTCCTGCCTTGGCTTCCCAAAGTGCCGGGATTACAGGTGTGAGCCACTGCACCCGGCCCTGAATTCTTAATTACAACTAAAATAGATGCTTGTGGATTTTCCTGTTTTACAACTCTTGCCTCTTTTATCTGTAAATTTAAGATCTTGACAGTTTATATTTGGCTTTGCTTTTGTGTCCCAAGAGTTCTTTCCGTGATAAGCCTATGTGGAAACTACGGAACCTTACAAATATAAAACATTTCCAGAAAAACATACAAAAATGGACACCTGACATTTACACTCCCTAAGATCGTGATCCTCTTGAAGAAAGGAGATGAACGCGGCTGCTTTTCAGTAGTTCTTCACTCCACCTTGCCAGGTTCTTCATCTGGATGCTATGCTGTGAGGGCCTGAGGAGGAGGCTGGGATTGTGATGGATCCTACTGGATTTTACAGCTGGAGCTCCCAGGAATGCCCTCATAGGGAATGTCCTGAAGGGAATCATGGGTAACTTGTAAGCTACCTCAACTTATTTTTGGAACTATGTAAGATATAAGATGGATGGAGCTGGGTTGCTGTGCCTTTCTCGCCTTGTCCGCAAGAGATGCAGCTGCTCCTGCAGGCCAAAGTTCTGCACGAATCACCTCCACCTGCTTCCCACTGGGAGACAAAGGTCTGAGAGCCTGTTTAGCGATGAACCACGATGATCTTTTTTTTTTTTTTTTTTTTTTTTTTGAGACGGAGTCTCGCTCTGTCGCCCAG